TATGCCGAAATCTCTCGTCTTTCTCTCTCTCTCTCTCTCTTCATTCGGTGATCGATCTGAAATAAGAACCGATGTCGCCGTTTTTATACTCGTGCTATTCACATATGCATCTGTGACAATTGTTATGATCAAGTAACAGTATTTATCCGTCATTCTTCCGTCCAATTATCGTGCGATTAAACACACGCATCGACGCTACTGCAGCACGTCATTCGCGGAGAAATAACTGTGCGACGTATTTTATATTCCAGGTATAACCGGCTGAAATCTGCATCTGCGTTTGCTCGAAATGCAAACAAAACGTATCGTGACCCATTTTCGTCGCTCCGCGAACGGGAGTGCATATGAGCTTACCGTATTTATTGCGCGTCCATACACGTTCGCGAGATACATTCGCAGAAATATATACTCAGCAGGACTACGAGTGTACGCATAATGCACGAATAACTTCGATAACAAGCTGTAATTTCAGACAAATATTTGAGAGGACGTTAATTGAATAATCGGAAACTCGACGTCGGTTGTTACCTTGCCCATGATAATCCCCTACGCTGCTGCTTGTCCCTCTTTAATCCACTGATATCATTCATCTCGATTCGTCCAACAACACGATTAAAATGAGAATATTTTTTTCAGACGCACGCTGCTCAAAGTGAAATACTTGTCACATCAACCAGTCTTATTCTGTAATCTCTCGCGGCATTTTTGACGTTTCATTCGAATAAACAAATGTTTGAAACTGATAACTTCTCTCTCTCTCTTTCTTTTCTTCTCTAAAAAATGATGTTCTAGGACGTGCTTTATTTGCTTTAAAGTTATGCAATTTCTCACACAAGTTGAATAAATTTTCTAGTAAAGATTCAGAGATATTCCGAGATGGTTCATGTTCTCTGTGTAATCGGTGTCATCACACACATGCGCAATCACATCCAGACACCTCGTATAAATTTGCGAGTACGCGAAAATATCACGGTCGGAATAAATCAGCTATCTCGCGTCAACTTTTGAGCCGGCCTGTAACGCATAAAACATCCTGCGATAATAGCGCATAGATAGCGCGCAGATACCATGCGGGTTACATAGAAGCGAATAAGAATGGGCACGAAAAGACCGCGCTATTGTCGTTTCATTCATTTCTGGCTGGATTCGCCGCCGCCGCAGATCAAGAAGAATCTAACGAAGCTTCGCGTATTTCGCGTATATTTTGCGTCACGCGTATTCTCCCACGACGCGTTTGCTTATAAAAAGCTCCTACATTCCACTGATTAACCTATTGTGTCCGCAACGCACGCAAAGTAAACCTTACCGCTGCATCTGTAATTAACGCGACTTCATGTGAATGTGCTCTCGTGTTTGCCGAATAATCGAACGAACGATTTCAATTGTATTTTCTTCGATACCTCCATAAAATACAAATGAAAGTCGTATCGACATTTATTACAAATTTCCAATATCAAAAAAAAATGTCCAAAGAATTGAATTTCAAACAGTAACGTGAATATAATAGAAGGTTTCCAGATATTTGCACCGGTCACCGGTTTTAATTAATCAAAAAACAACACAATCTCTCTCTTCCTTGCTTCCTTTTTAAAAGATATATAATTATCTTTGAAGATGATTTTCGGGTATTTCGCAGATCAAGAAGAATCTAACGAAGCTTCGCGTATATTTTGCGTCACGCGTATCCTCCCACGACGCGTTTGCTTATAAAGAGCTCCTACATTCCATTCATTAACCTATTGTGTCCGCAACGCACGCAAAACAAACCTTACCGCTGCATTTGTAATTAACGCGATTTTATGTGAATGTTGCTCTCGTGTTTGCCGAATAATCGAACGAACGATTTCAATTGTATTTTCTTCGATACCTCCATAAAATACGAATAAAAGTCGTATCGACATTTATTACAAATTTCCAATATCACCAAAGAATTGAGTTTCAAACAGTAACGTGAATATAATAGAAGGTTTCCAGATATTTGCACCGGTCACCGGTTTTAATTAATCAAAAAACAACACAATCTTCCTTGCTTCCTTTTTAAAGAATATATAATTACCTTTGAATATGATTTTCGGGTTTTTTTTTCCGTAAATTACATCGTGCGATGTATTATTGGATCTCTGCGAGAGTCGAAAGTTTTTCGAGGCTTTCCCGGTGTTTCTCCTTCGATGGAGAAACACCGCTGCCAAATTGATCGTCGATGTAAGTCTCATTTGGGCACGATGGTGATTTTCCGCAAGGAATGCCTCCGTCGACGAACCAGGTTCGCTCGCGTTCTGCCAACTCTTCTCGTTTTTTTTTTCTCTTTCTCTCTCTCTCTCTCTCTCTCTCTTTCTCCATCTCCCTCTCTCTTTCCTCCCTCTCTTGTATTTGCGCGTATAAATAGCACGGTCCAAAATTATCGGGGCACTTCGGCGAACGGTGCCGCGAAAGTGGCGTCCAAGAAAAGGCCGACGATTTCTGCTAGCTATAAAAATACGCGGGAACGGCGCGAGGCCGCCTGGTGGCGTTGCGCATTCTTTGTCGAGGAACACAACGAAGGACAAGGGATGATGCAGACGACATTCGTTGACTTTAAACTCCCGCGATCCTAATTTCAACAGCTTACGTTCGAACGCAACATTATAGGACCTTTACGCATGAACATTCTAATACATGACAGGGCAATCTTTGGAAAGCGTTGTAACGTCGCAAAATCTGACATCATATATTGATCCGAGTGATAGCAATAATTCCATACGATCACAAATTAAAATCTTGTTGAGTGGAGATGAATTAGTTTCGCAACGTCTTTAAATGGTTATGTTGCATATTGATAAACAATTTAACGAGCGCATCAAACTTGAGTTTTAACGAACAAGCTAGACGTCAGTAGCACCCGACGTTTCAACGACGTGACCGCACGGTAATTACGTACGATTAATCAACGTATATGGGTCGACAGCGGGAGAGGACGAGACGAGAATTTTGCGACTACAATTCTGAAGAATTTGTCGTAGATCTGGAAAGTAGATGCAAAAGATCGCGGACGCTTATAAACGGTGGGCAGGCGAAGATAAGCCTCGTTTGTGTGTAAATGGCTCTGAACTGTTGAACCTGTGCTCCACTTCCGCTTTCGTAACATCGCGTTGCCGCATAATTCCGTAGGGACGACCCGTCGCGTCTTGAATATTGAACATACGGATAATCGAGTTTGAACCGATCTCCGAGTTTGCCTTCCTCTGACCTACCTCGATTAGAATAACTCTGCTTAACGGAATTGTGCAAGGCGCAATTGCTTATAAAATCGCAGGATCGTTAACGCTACGCAATTAGAGTACGCGAATATGAAGTTTTCTTCTGAGATCCGTTTCACGTTAACGCGTATCTTCTTGCATCTATGCGGAAAATACACAGGATATGAAAATAAAGACTCGAATCCTTTTAAAAAAGTATATAATATGTACGAAACAGCGGCAAAAAGTCATAATAGGATAAAGTCGGATATGACGACCGTACGGAAAAGATGACAATAGGCTATAATTTTTCCAATAATTGCTAAATAGTGGTGACTGTAAATATCGATTGCCTTTGAGAATGATTGAAAAGCTTACATACTATTTTAACGATTATTGGAGAAATTACAGCCTCTGGCCAACTCTTCCGTATAACCATTATATTTGAGCTTCGACTTCCAAATCGACTAATTAGAATTGAACAACTGATGCTTTCCGAAATATGGCTGCCATCCCTCCCACCTCGCATCAATTTCTCGATCGTGCACCTACAAATATTAGCACAGGTATCGTAATAAGAGTCTGTGGACGGCACACTGTGATCGCGACGCATCGTAGAACGCGTAATCGAGTCTCCTAATTGAATTATTTGCCGAGTGCTAATGTTTTCCTCGTACGCGAACACTAACCGATCGTTATAGCTTGACTATTTCTTCGCTGCGGGGAAATATCTATTGACCGATTATTATTAGCGATTATTCACGGTCGAATGCATATATATGTATACAGGTATTTTCCCCGTTCGCGAAAGTGCACCGCGAAACATTGCAGTGGAGAACCTTCTTCTACTCCTCTCGTGTGGAATATTTTACTCTGCTAGCGGTATAAATAAGAAGTATGCCTTTAAGCTACGCTTGTTATGGATACGCGCGTGAATATGACATTTTCATCCCGTTTCTCGACACGATGTACGAAGATCGAGCGAGTTATCGCGAGAGACCTCTTAACGCAACAACGACTGCGAGACAATATTCCATCTGATGATTCGACCGTGACTCGACGCAATTACGCGTAACAAATCGATTCACTTTTGCGCATAACGTCAGTAATCGTCAGTGCTACGTAATCGCGACAGAACGTAATATAACTCTCGTAGCAAACGAGAATCAGCAGCGTTTCCGCAAACGGTCGCATTGACGCCTGCGTGTGTGGACGAATGCATCGCGCGATCTACACTGGGTGCACTTGGAATTTTCTTGTCGGCATACCTAGGCTAGCGACCTCATATATTTTTCTTATGCACAATCGTAGGTGCGCATTACACGTACCTCTCGTCATCGTGAATTCGACGTCGCGTCACTAGCACCTTACGTAAAGTTGCTTCGCGCGTAATAAATTCGATTCGAAGCCCGTTACTTCGGGATTTTTTACACGTCACAACAGTCGCGTTCTCTTCGTACCGTAATACCGTATTCTGACGCGCGAGATAATCGCCTCCCACAATTATGTCGGATTAATCGACGCGTCCGTTTCACAGAATAATCGCGGCGATTCGCGCGCAGTATTGAGAAACCGCGACGCGACCTTTCGTGAATCACCTTCTTCTCTCCGTTGTCGTCGTCGCAGTTGTCGTCCACGACATCCGTTCTTGCGTCTGAGTCACCTGAGAGTCCACCACCACCACCACCACCCCGATCTCGCCTTCTTTCGCGCTTCGCTCCTTTTTTCACGGCCCCGACAGGCGCAGTCAGTTACTAAATCCACCTGGTACTATGCCGTTTGCAGAGACCCACACTGTGGCGATGACAGACCCACAGCTGACCAACAACAACAATAACAACAACAATAATAACAACAATAACAACGATGGCGAGCCAAAGTACCTGCACAAGAAATTCAAGAAAATGGCGACGACCGAGGTCGCGTCAAAAGCCGAACCCAAGAAGGAGACTACGGCAAATAACGCGACTGTCGAGACGCCGAAGCGAAAGGATGCCGACAAGGATAACAAGGAGACGAAGGAGCCCGCCAAACTCGAGGCTTCCCCGGAACCTGAGGGAGAACCCACCGAGACCCGCAAGAGCGGCTACGTTTGTCCATACTGCAACTTATCCTGCGCGAAACCGAGCGTGCTTCAAAAGCACATCAGAGCGCACACGAACGAGCGACCGTATCCGTGCGTGCCGTGCGGATTTGCCTTCAAAACCAAGTCGAATCTGTACAAGCACTGCAGGTCGCGCGCTCACGCGCTCAAGATGGAAGGAGGAGACGCGAGCAAGGTATTCATTAACAAGATTCATTAGTAATTTGTAAAAATGCAGACCGATCGGAACGTCTTTCTTTCTCACATTCAGTTCCGACTTGGTAAGATTTCCTTCATTTTGCTGAATGCAGTAAAATCTAAATTCAACCGAATATAGTGTTTAACATCATAATTGCATCAGATTACCGCAGCATACGATATTGCGCTAGAAAAAAGAGAATAATACGATAAATTGTTGAATTATTATTGTGTAATAATTCGGAGGTAAATTCCGAAATAGAATAATTGAATTTTTGATATCGACAAATTGTAATGTTTTTTTGCAGATGTCCGAGGATTCCGACATAAGTCTGTCGGATAGCGCCAGCAATGGCACAGGTACGCCGCCTCCCGCTTCGACACCCACGACGACGACGACGACGACGACGACTACGGTAACGAGCGTCGTGAAGACCGTGAAAACCGGCAAGATTTACAAGCCGAAATTTCACACGGCGTTACAGTGTGTAAATAATGATGCCGAGACGTCTTCCTTGTCGCCGAGTTCTTCCAGTAGCAGCTCCTCCTCTTCCTCTTGTTCCTCGTCTTCCTCTTCCTCCTCCTCCTCCTCTTCTTCCTCCTCCACCACTACCACCGCTGCTTCCAGCTCCAAGCCAAACGCAGAAAAATTGCAAGAGCACATCGACAAGATCATCACGGATAATCAAGCGATCGTTGAGGCGGTGGATCCACGTCTACACAAGCTGATGCAGCGTCAGCAGAGCTTGGTGGAAACGAAGCAATTGGAGCTGCCGTTGAACCTGTCTTCCGCGGAACCAGAGTCTTCGAGTAGGAAACGTCGCTACAGTGACAGCTTCGCTCAGGAAGGAGGAAAGGAGGACAACTCCGAGAGTTCGATTATCAAGGATCTCCTCCTGAAAACTCCGAATACTGCGAACGGACCGTTGCCGGAGACTGGAGCAACCATTGATAACCTGACATGTTGCCCTACCTGCAACATTCCCTACACTAGCGTGGACAACTTGGAGACCCACCGTAGGTACTATTGCAAAGGCATTAGCAGTCCCCGAAGAGCAGATTATCCCGGAGAACTGGAGAAACGCGAGTCCGACTTTGACTCCAAGTCTTCCGAATCCTACTACGGCACCTTGCAACCGTTACCCTCGCCGGGTCCTCTGCTGGGTAACACTCGACTAGTCGACGCATACGCCCCACCCACGAAGAAATCAAGATTGGAGACCGTGCCGACTAGCCTGAGGTCGCTGGAGGAGCTCAGCAAGTACCCGCGTCCAAATTCTTTACAGATGTTCGGCGGCGAAGTGAGGATTCTCGACAACACGGGCGAGACAAAGACCATGAGAATCGAGCCACGACAGACCAACTCGCCAACCAGCGAGCATATAGTGAGTAGCAAGTGCGTGACTTCGGAGACGGCGTCAGTAGTGGTCAAGTCCGGATTGCATTCGGGTGGCACTATAGTCCACAAGCCACCAGGCACGCCGGCCAGCACGCCGAGTTCCTCCATATCTCTGCCTAACGTACCGAAAATGCTGGCGCCCATCATACCGAACATATCAACTCCCAATATAGCGCCGACCATGTCCTGCTACAACTACCTGGAGCCGCATTTGAACCCACTGACGAGTATCACTGCCTACAATCCGTTGACGTTGCCTCAAGCAGGCATCACCAACATTCTCCACGGCGGCAAAATAATACCCTACGTTCCCGGCATGCCCGGACCGCATACTCTGACCGGCACGCCGACTATAGACATATCTCCGAGTATAACGGCCGGCGAAGCCGGTTACAAGGTGATACCGGGTATACCGGGTCTACATATGGTACCTCAACCTTTGAATTTGGCCAGTCCGGTAAAAGTGCAAGCCAGCGTGCCCGTGCCGTCCGGTATACTCGGTCCGTTATCCGGACACGCTGGACCACCTTCCGTGCTGGATCAGCCTCTGGATTTAGCCAGCCCGGCCAAGGAATCCAAGATCAGCTTCAAGACTCCTAGCGGTGACGGTTCAAAGAGCGGCTTGACCAGTCCCAAAGTTCCTAGTGTTAAGATCGAGACCTCGACGGATAAGTATCGCGCGAGAATGCCGTCGACGCCCACCGGGGAAATCGGTAAAACGGAGCTCGATCGTCATATCAAGAATGGCGTGGCGGTGAAGTACAAGAACATGGAGAGTCCTCGAGAGAGAAGAGAGTTCACGTACGACAAGAGTCCGAAGCATTCGGATAAAGCTTTCGGTTATCCGAATGGCACGGATACTGCAAATTCCTGTACCAGTTCTTACAGTAAACTGAGGTACTCGCCCAAAACTGCTACAGAGAATAGAAAAAGGCCGTCCAATTGGGGTGTGAGCGAGGTAGACGCCGGTAGAGCATCGGTGGACACGCACATCACCGTCTCCAAATACGACCTACCGCCTCATGAAAACGGTCAATTGAAGAATAGCAGCCTCCCCGACGGACGGGCGAAACTTGCAGACGGTTACGGCGCGTTCAACGGGGCCAAGACGAAGACCGCCGAGCCTGTACCATCGGTGATACTTGTGAATCTAGATTCTTCCAAAACAGAAGTGCCAACGAGAACTTCCATAGAGGTAGTAATTGCTAAGGACAAGCCCGAGGCCAAATCGCCAAAAAGCGGCGAAGTCAACTCCGAGGAAGCGATCAACTCTAACAAGTTTGTGAGACCTACGTCGTTGCCGCTGAAACCCGGCACGTTCACGCCGAAGAAGCATCACGGAATCACGCCAACGGCGAACACACTTCCTCTCATCAGTCCGGAGACTCCGCGACCCAAGAAGTCATACGGACAACTGTATCTGAACGGGCATGCCTACACATATCTGGGACTAAAGTGTTCCACCAGGGTATTCTACTGTACCTTGAACCGACCGCAGCCGATGTACGTTACACAACAACATGGTCTGTCGATGTACTCCAATTGGAAAATATGCAAAGAGGTACCGTCGGACGTGGATATGGCGCACTACGACTCTCGGCACAGACCTTTCAACTATACCACCGCTTGGAAAAGACAGGAAGACATTCTGACACACTCCTCGCAGAGACCAACCACTCCCACCAGCCCGGATAGCGGATTGGAGAGTGACATGCAGGAAAAGGCAAAAAAGGTGACGATATTCGATGGAGGTTACGAGAGTAATGAAGATTATACTTATGTGCGCGGAAGAGGTGAGAAATGTCTTCATTCTTCTATTATTTTATAAATCGACATTACGCGCTTAAACTTCTTATTATTTTCGACAATAATATTTCAAAATTATATATTTTACCAATTGATTGAGAGAGTCAATATACTTTGAGAACGCATGTTTAACGATAACGTTATCAACGGGAAACTCAAGTTACATGATGTTTCACAAGGTCGAGGACGTTACGTCTGTAAAGAATGCGGTATTCGGTGTAAGAAACCATCTATGCTGAAGAAACATATCAGAACGCATACAGATGTTAGGCCATATACTTGCAAACACTGTGCCTTCAGGTAAGTTTGCGATTTTAAGTGTGACGCGACAAAATATCGTACATACAACTAACAGCTCGAGTGTCTCGAGTTTATGTGAAACAATGTTCATGTTTATGTCGATTGTTTGTGCGCCAGTTTCAAGACAAAAGGCAACCTCACAAAACATACCAAGTCTAAGGCTCACTACAAGAAATGCGTGGAATTGGGCGTGGTGCCGGTGCCGACGACCGTTTGCGACGAAAACACCGACAAGGAGTCCATGGTGCAATCGACCGCTGGTGGCGCCAACGCGGAGGAATCGTCGGAGGAGGAAGAGGAGAGCGACGGCGAAGAGAGCGAAGAGTCTGGTAGCGAGGAACAAGAAGCAGCGCAAAGTCTACTGAGTCTTTCGCAACGTAACAACACAAACAGACTTCCAGGCTTGCTGCCGTCGGGAAGACCCACGACGTATCCGTACGCTCTGACCTTACCGATCTTACCGACAACTTCTTCAACCACGGTGAACGTCGTCACGTCCACTGTGGCGAGCACAACAGCCATGAGTAGTCTGAACGTGACCAACCAAGGGACAACTTTGATTCAAAGCGAGTTGTCGCATCGTTACTACTTCCCGTCGAATCGAGTAACATCGGAGGAATCGAGGAGCAGCGTCATCCAATCGGCCTCGAAGAAAGACGACTCGGACGTCGAGATGGAGGAAAACGAAATCGGTGGTATCGCAGAATTGCGTCACCAATCCATGTCTCAGCCGATGGATCTGACGACGAAGCAGACGGTTCAACCGTTGCCGTCGCCGATCCCGCAAAGAGCTAGACCCGCGGATATCCTGACTCCCGTCTCGGAACCGGTCCTCCTGCAAACGATAGTCCAGACGATGGAACGACTGCCTATACAGGGGAGAGAGTGGAAACCGGATGCGCAGGGCCATATGTTGCAGGCGTATCTCACCGAGAGATACGTGATGGACAGTAAAATCAAGCAACAATATCGCGTAGGAAATGGCAAGTTGGACAAACAAATGCAAGAGAGAGATATTTATCCGCGGCATCAAGATACCACAAAATCCAGGCATATAGAATCCAACGGCGTCCCAATGGTGACGTATACCGACCCCAGCAAGATACAACACACGGTTATGGAAAGCAGAGTTAAGCACACGACAAAACATACCAGCGACGACATCAAGATGGAAATCAGGGAAAAGATATATCAAAACAACATGGCGATGGAAAGACGAGCGTTCGACTTGGAGACCACTCAAAAGGACAAGGAGCAGTCTAGTCGCTTGCTTCCCGAACGTGAGAGTTTCGAGCTCGTTTTAGCCAGTCCCATTACAAGACCGAATATCGAATACGGTCATGTGTCTATGAGCAAAAACAATAACTCTATGGACAGATCGATTTATTCTGTAGACGCACCTGTCTTGAGCACGTCCAGTATCGTCGATTGTCATTCACCGAAATCCTTGAACATGGACACCAACAACCGGCTGCCGCTGATGCAACACACTAGCATCGACGTCGACAGAAGTTCCATGTTTAGTGCGATCAAGATGATGGGCGAAATGGAAAGACCTAGAGAGTGTCACCCAGTCAATCAGGAGATGAGAACACCGAGCAACGACGTGCGAATGCAGAGCCCGCGGAATCTCGACCTGAGACCACCCAGCAGGGAGATCAGAGCGTCCGGTCAAGAGTACAGAACGCAGAATCAAGAGCTGAGACTACCTAGTCAGGAGCTGAAGATGCGGGGCCAGGAGATGAGACCGCCTAGTCGCGAGTACAAGCCGTTCGCTCACGAGATGCAAGTCATTCAGGAGCTTATGCCGTCGACAAACATAGAAATGCGGCAAACAAGTTCAGATAATAGGCCGCCTAGCAGAGACATGAGAGCTCTCTCGGAATACAGAGCGCAGCCTCAAGATCTCAGGCCCAGTTATGAAATAATGCAATCGCCTATGCACGAGCCTCCCAAGACGAAAAACGTTGATGTGAGAAGTGCGGTACCGGTCGTCTATCACTATGAAACGAAACACACTGCGGAAGCAAGCAAACAGAATACGCCGGATAACGCGAAGCACACGATAGCCAGGAAGATAGTCGTCGGCGGTCCGGATTTTCGATCGCCCTCACCGAATACGGCGAATCCAAAACCGCAAGCGGAATTTTTACAACCGTCTAATGGTCCGACGCCTAACTATGTTACGTGAGTACTTGTTGATCATACCGTTTCGCGTATGATGAATAGCGTTACGTTGGATAAAGAGACAAAAATCGATAAGTACTTTCAACGACAGTGTCGTTGTCTCTCTTCTCTCTCTCTCTCTCTCCTTTATATTTGCAGAAAAGCATAAAGGTGTCCCTCCATCTATACACTTATCGTGCATATCGTTGCAAATATAATGTAGAAAATAAAAAACACGAATTTATATAGCTTACGCGGGTCGAATGTACGATATTAATCGAAATAACTCGGTTTGTAAGAATTGATTCCATGGAATATAGTTACAGTGTGACGGAGGACGGTAGGAGCGTATGTGGTATTTGCAACAAAGTGTTCAGCAAGCCTAGTCAGTTACGGTTGCATATCAACATTCATTATTTCGAGCGGCCATTCAGATGCGAAAGTTGCGCGGTTTCCTTCAGAACCAAGGGCCACTTGACGAAACACGAGAGATCGGTTTCCCATCACAATAAGGTAAACGATAAATCTACCCGAACGTGTGTATATATGCATATATCAAGAGAAATATATATATATATATATATATATATATATATATATATATATATACACACACACACGCGCGCGCGCGCATATATATGTATGTATGTATGTATGTATGTATGTATGTATGTATGTATGTATGTATGTATATGTATATATATATGCTGTTGTATTATATATGCATGCATACATATATATATGTATGTATCATACATATATATACACATATACATATATATCTCGAAACTACAGGTCAGTATGACTTCTACGTTTGGCGCGGCAACCACCAGCAATCCTAGGCCCTTCAAGTGTACAGATTGTAAGATAGCGTTCAGAATACATGGACATTTGGCCAAACATCTTCGCAGCAAGATGCACATTATGAAGTTGGAGTGCTTGGGCAAATTACCGTTTGGCACGTACGCGGAAATGGAAAGGTCTGGTGTCAACTTGAACGACATCGACACCACAGACTGTGATAATAGCCTTAATAGTCTGCAGGTGAGTGTGTCGAATTTGCAGAAAGATAATCTCGCCCGCATTGGCAATATCGCATAACACGTGTGTGTCTCTCCTGGTAGATGTTGGCTCAAAGGTTATGCGAGAAGGACCCCGCCAAGATCGCGCAATGGGACTCGGAGAGTGTGCCCGTCATTGGCCAAGCGGTGAGCGGCGGCGATACTTCATCGGACGAGGGCGAACCCATACCGCAGCACGCGCTTCACGCTCAATACGCGAAAGCGACCACGGACGCGGACATCTCCCGATCATATCACATGCCAATCACCAGCGACGAATCGAAGGTCATTAACCACGACGTTCGCCTTCGCAGTCCTCACTTCGGTCAGCAAAGACGCGACTACGCCGTGAAGGAACAGCGACCGGCCCCGGCTGCCGTTTCGTCGGAGGATACGAGAGCGGAAGACAATTTACAATCGTACAAGTGCCAAGTTTGCCCCGTGTCCACGCGTACCGTAAATGAATTACAGGTACATTGTTTTGTTGAACATAATGTTGAAACCGATTCTAGTACAAATATTGTTCACGGAGACAGGAGTGTGAGTAAATGTAGGGAAAAAGAGAATACTCAGAGAAGAATCACGGAGGAATCTTCCGCGATCATAATAGAGAAAAAGATCGTAATAGAGGAGAGGATCGTAATAGACAAAAGATAGAGGATACATAGTGCCAAAACGATATAGCGTGCTAAAGAATCTTCGATAGTGTTTGCCATACTACACTTAGAGAGAAAGAGAGAGAGAAATTGCATAATGACAATGTAACATGTACTACACGTGTCATCCATACTTTCGCGATTCTAAAGAAATATCTTGTATGATTACCTAAAGGTGCTTTGATCTCGAGGAAACGCGTTAACGCACTTGAGTATTAACGCCAGGATGACAAGATGAGATGAGAGATTTGGACGAATCGTGTGTCATTTGTAATTGAAAAGTTGCACGCTTACGAGTTTCAAATTTTACGTTGCCGTTACCGAATGTTTGGTGAATTTTACGGATTTTAAAGTTTATCGATTGAAAGGAGAAACGCGAGAAAAAACACGAGTATCTGATAATAACGTATAAATCTTGACATGTATGCAATTAAACGAATCATTGAGAAGCATTGTCTCGATCATGTTTCTTCTACCACAGGTACCAGTTCACTTGTAACTGCCTGTTCGTACTGCAAAGCCGTAACGACATAATCGCTCGTATAGTCCACTTCTAAGACTTTTCCTCTCGAAACCGGCACGTATAACGCGTAAGTAAAAAAAAAAAGAGAAAACAGCAAAAACAATAACGTAGCTCGAGTATCTGATAATGATTATAATATTTATACACACAATAGTGTCGTAGCAAGCATGAGGTGCAATGTGGACTGGCATGTGATCCTGTATTTAAAGTGCAAATGTTGCGTTCAACGTTAAAGAGTATTCTAATATTACAAATGAATATTATACTTTAAAAATTGATACATAAAGCTTATATATATATATATATATATATATATATATATATATATATATATATATATATATATATA